GAGATAAACTGTCCATTTTTCTAATAAAATTTCTCTTAAAATAGTCATCTCCGTTGAATTCATCTTATGGGAAAGATTTCGTGAGAACGTAGGTTATAAACAGAAGGGCTCAGTGCTGCTCTCATTGAAGTCAATAGTAAAGTTCACATTGATTTCAGTTGCAGTAGCATCAGGGCTAGGGACTCATGTTTAATTTGCTTGAGAGCTGGGTTTAACATCTGCAGCAGAATTTGTATGCTAAAAGGAGTAGTGCTGTTGGAGTCCATTGTACCAAGCTGATATATGCCACTTAATAATATTTAACACTTATAATGTTTTATATTTTCAGATCACTGCACAAATATTAACCAATTAATGACCCTTGAAATATAAATTCACAAAGGCTTTTTTAACTCTTATACAGTCCAATATTTCCCATTAATTGACAAAGAGGAAAGTGTCCATAGCAGGTACTCCTCTTTGCAGGACTGCCACCAGAGGAGGAAATCTGGGGCAGTTGTCAAAGGCCTGGACTTCCAAGTGAGTGCTCAGTGGGTCCTTGCTGCTGGGTGTAGTATCCCATTAAGGATGCGGTAGTGTGTCTGGTCAGTGGTTGCTGCTGTTGCGGCCATGAAGCGAGCTTATTGGAAAGAAGTTCTGGGGAAGCTTTAGTAGTACTTAGGGCAGCATGAGAGTAGCCCTAAGCAGCTTCTTAGTCATCCTGAGCCTGATACAAGAGAAAGAGACAAAGATGGAGGGATAGGGAAGTGGGCAATAACAAAGGGGGAAAGGAAAACCAGGTAGGAGACAAAGTAAGTGTGTATGACGTGGGGGGATAATAGCAAAACATAGAATTTTGGGTCCACAGATAGTGGGGACAGGACCAGCCATGCTCCACAGCACTGCCTCTCTAGATTTCCCATCTCTGAGCTGTGTCACCAGCTTTCACTTTCCCAAGGGCACCTTTTTTGGATGCGACTGAGCTGCAGGGGGACCCACCTAATAGCTGCACAGGTCCTGCAAGAGCAATAGGAAGGAGTGGGATCTTGGGCAAATCACTAAGGGATAAAAAGTATTTAGGCACCTAACTCCCATTGATTTGGGACTTAGGTGCCTACATCCATTTAAAAATCTGGCCCTTAGCCTCTCTGCACCTCAGTTCCCCATCCGTACAATGTGGATAATAGCAGTGCACTACCTGCCCAGCGTGTTGTGAGGATAAATACATGGAAGATTGTGAGGTGCTCAGACACTGTGATTATTTGGGTCATATAAGTACCTGAGTAATTTAAACACTGGGAAATGTTGTGGAAAATGGAGATATCCAGGCCTTAAATAAGAACAGACTATCCACCTCTGTCCACATTCTAAATGTTAGGAGTACAGGGGTAAAAATCTTTATTTAATAGTGCCCGCAAGTGTGCTAGGTGTTTCACAGAATACAGGTCTCTGCCCGAAGGCCCTGATCCTACAATTATCCCTTTCCCCCTGTAGCAACACCCTTCATAGGCACCGACTTCATGAGTGCTCTGGGGCTTGAGCACCCACGAAAAAAAAAAGTGGATGCTCAGCACCCACCAGAATCCCCGCCGATCAGCTCCTCCCCTCTGATCAGTGGTGTGCAGGTGGACTGCGGTGTCTGCATGGAGTCCCCTTGAAGTTATTGAAGCTCTAGGTGGGTACAGCAGTCCATTCCAGCACAACACTGTGCAGGATTGAGGCCTAAGCAGTAGGCTTATAAAGGGTGTGAGAGGGAACCAATCAAGCTTTTAAAAAATCATAAAGTAAGCATTACTTTCCCCCCTTCCCCCCCGCTACTCCTGGTTGTCTGAGTTCTTATATGCATGGCAGCAGAGGTTGGTCTTGAGCAGAGATTTGAGGAAGGGGGCAGTAGCCTTACAGTGTGGTTCAAGGGTACAAGGAAGAGGGAAAGCGAAGGACTGATGAGGGCATGGAAATATTTGTGTGAGAAGCTGGACAGACAAGGCTGGTATCACTGACCGGATGAAGGAGGTGGATTTGAGGAAGGGGGCAGTAGCCTTACAGTGTGGTTCAAGGGTACAAGGAAGAGGGAAAGCGAAGGACTGATGAGGGCATGGAAATATTTGTGTGAGAAGCTGGACAGACAAGGCTGGTATCACTGACCGGATGAAGGAGGTGGAGGTAACACAACAGAAGACAAGAACAGATAAGTAAAGAAGGGCAGAGTTGTGAAGAGTCTTATTCCACAAGGCAAGATGCTTGAACTGGATGTGGTGAAATAAGGAAGCCAATGGAAGGATTCAAAATAGTTACACTAACAAATCTTCTTGTTGTATATGTTCTAATTAAAATTCCCAAATTCTTTCTACTACTGTGCACACTAAAGTAAATCAGTTTAATTTCACATCCATAAATCAGGTTTAAATTCCACTCACCACTACACAGTTAGTAAGACTGTTACCATTTTTTTGTTTATCCTTATCCTTTATCTAGAAATTTGTATTTAGTTGCACTGGTTTCTTTCAAGACCCCTTCTGTACCTTGTTCCACTGATTTGCAGGATTGGTTTCATATAGGTAAGTCGCTATCTGATCCAGTACGGCATTTAAGAACGTGCTTAACTTTAATCATGTGAGTAATCCTATTGGATACTGCACTAGCAGTGTCATATAGGGATCAATCCCACAATATACTGAGTTAGCGTACATCATGCAGAATAGTTTTATAGACAAAGGCTCCCTCCTAGAGCATTTAATCATTGCAATAAGTATTAATTGAATAAAGTTTGCAGCATGGGTGTTAAAGATAGATGTAGTGTTTCCTGCAGCACAGGGAGCACAATCCATCTGCTGAATTCTCAGAATCCTGGGTATTCTCAGTGGGTGAAATCCTGGCTCCATGTAAGCCAATGAGATTTCTGCCATTAACTTTAATTTCACCTGGTATGTTTTTCAGGAACGGAACGTAAGCAAAGTATAAACATTTCCAGCACATGCATTAGATTTAATTATTTTTTTGGGGCCAGGTGATTTATCTTTCTCTTTTTTTACATTCATGAGCATGTACAATTCATTAATGTAATTTATTTAAATTAAATGAGGATACAGATGTTTAGTCCTTCATTGCTCTTCTCTGTAAACTTTGCACCTCTTAAATTGGACACAATTTATCATAGGCAAAGGAGAAGAGGAAATTTTGTGGAGACTCCCTGGTAACATATTGCCAACTCATCCCTGGGATTTGCAGGATTGGGTCCCTAATGATGGAGAGATATCTTTATCTCTTAAAAGTCTTAATTATGGAATTCCTTAGAAGGTACTCTGGTTCAAGAATAGCTCAGGAAGCAGCTTGGCAACACACAGATGCTTCCACTGAGATTTCTTAGGCAAAAGCTGTTGTCTTGTGATGTACCAAAAATATATCCACAATCCAATGTTCCTAAAAACCTATTCTTGCAAGTATGATGCCTTCTATAAAAGGCCTGCTCCAGCTCCCATTGCAGTCAATGTGAGTTTTGCAATTGACTTCAGTGAGAGCAGGCCCCAAAGCTGCCTTGTTGTTAACTGCATTATAAACATAACTTTAAAAAGGGATTATAAAGTTAATAAAAAAGACTTCCCTGTCACATCTAACAGGGCCTCCAAGACAACATTGACTTACATTGCACAGTGTCATGTGTACTGGTATCAACTAATAGGCCAGGCAATTTTTTAAAATGTTCATATAATCTATTTGGCAAAAGTCCATACACTATCAAATGTGCATAGCACAGAGTATGCAAAATATTACTTTTCAGCACATCATTTCTCTCCTATTTTTCATTAGCTGAAGGAAAGTGATTGCCAAATACAACTGCGGAAATGGGAAACAATGCGTAGAGGAAAAGTCCCACACCATTAAGGCATCCGTTTCTTTCCCCTGCCATAAATAAATTCAACATGTCTTTAAAGGCAAGACTAAATGGCTCCAGGAAATTCTCATTAAGGAAATAGCCCCTGCCTGTGCTACTTACTTTCATTTGACATTTACAACCCACTGACAAGTTTTCTCTGACAACAGAGAAGTTATTTTATAAGTAATAACCAATAAAACAAGTTAGCTAGCCTATTACTAGTGGGATTTTAATCCTCTTCACTGGCTGTCCAGAATGCTAACACCCAAGGGTTTGACCCTGCTTCTGTAAAAGTCAGTAACAGAATTTAGATCTGGACCTATGCTTCTGCACTTTGATTTTGAAGGGTCAGTTTGTTTTCCAAAACTCAGCCCTACAAGACAGAAAATCCTTTATTGGGAAACCAGAGATAATGTAACAAGTAAAATAAATGTCTAAACTAAATAAATAAATTTTAAAGGTAAAATCCAATATCTGCAAATGAGTTTTGCTTTAACTGTGGCAGCCGTGCTATATTATGATGGGAGAAGAAGCAAGATAAGACCGGATGAAAAAAAAGTGTGCGTGTTGTTTATTACAGATCAGGAGCACCAGCATGTGGAAGATAAACCAAGCCTTTCATCTGCAGAATGCTTGTATTAAAATTGTCATATTTCATACAAAATACACAGTACTCTAAAATGGGAATGTGGTTTATACCATAATCACTGTAAAACTTGGACGCGGAGATGATGTATTAAAGGAACATAAGGGAATGCACCTTCCTGTTACAAAGGCTTACTGGGCAGGGACCTAATCCTGCAATCAGATCTGCCTGGGTTCAGCAATCCACGATCGTTGAGAGGGAAAACTCTGAAACGGACTCTGTGAAGGGTTTTTTATAAATCTTTGTGGTTAGTTGGTTCGTTACTTTTTGCTCTTCACTCAGCTCGCTGGAAACTGAGTCATGTCTCTCTCTGCTGGCAGGATCAGGGCCTCCGCGACAGAGGGAGGAAGGGGAAAGTGGTGATCAAAGACTTTAGAACAGCCCAATGATTCCGCCCCCCCTTTGTTTTTTTGTGACACTAGCTCCAAGTCCCCGCACCCTCCTCTGCCCCTGTCGTATCATTGCTGCTCTGCGGCACAATCCAGCCCCGGGCAGTAGAAGTGACTGAGTGTCAGGGGCCAGCTGAGATTCAAGCCCCGGCCAGCCCGACAGCGCCTCCCCCCACGCCGGGCTGCAGTGCGCTCCGGCGGCGAGGCCGCCTCCTCCCCTTCCCCTACCGGCTGGGCAGAGCCCGGGCAGCCGCCGCCGCCTCGGGGCCCGACCCGGGTCCTGCCGTGTCAACGCCTGCAGCCCGCCGGCCGGCCGGCCGCTCCAGCGCGCAGGCTCCGCTCGCCTCCATCCCTGTGGAGAGGCCGGCCCTCGCACTCCCCTCCCCGCCTTCCTGCCCCCGCTGTGCAGCGCAGAGCCGGCGGCGGCAGCGGCAGCCGGAGCTGGGCCCTGTGCGCTATGGAGCGCCCCGCGTAGCTGCTGCTCAGGGCTCGCCGCCCGCGGGACCAGGCTGCAGGAGAGGCGCTGGAGGGTGAGTGTCGGCGGAGGGGCCCTGCAGGGCTGGGGAGGGGGACCGGGCATTGCGAGGGCTTCTCAGCCGGTCGGGGGCGGTGGAGCTCTCCCCAGGCTGACCCTAGCTGGGCCGCCTCCCCCAACACGCAGCGCCGAGCCCCCCAGGTCAGAGAAATGTCCGGTTACCCCTTAGGTGGCGGGGGTGGGACACAGGGACCGGGAGGTGCCCCGGGGAGCGGGCTCAGTGCCCCCTGCCACACGCCGTCCCACGCAGCCCGGCTAGGTCACTGCCGTTGTTATTTGGCTCAGGGATCGGACGCCCGCAGGTCTGGAGCCGGCGCTGGATCTCCCGTTTTAGGAGGTGGCTGTGTTTACACGCGGGTAAGGGAGGACTCGGCGCTGGCGCTCGCTGATGCGGTTCTGCGTGGGTGGAAACGCGTTTCTGGCTTTTCTGTGTTGCTGTTCAGTCCTCAACCGGCGGTGGGCTCCCTGGGTGGGGGATGATTCTGCTAGAGGAATTCTGTCGTTTAAGCGGCTTTTTGTTTCAGAATGAAAAATAGTTATTAAATCACTTTTCAAAAAAAAAATCGTTGAACCCCCGTCTCAGTTGGTATTGGAGGATAAATAAATGTCCGCTGTACATGGTAAAGGAATGACTTGTTAGGAACGCCTAATGGTGTCTTAGGATCTATTTATACCTCTACTGCCATCCTGAGCAGGAGTCACATTGAGTTTTGCTTTGTAAACAGTTATTACTTATTCAAGACTGCAGTTGATAGATTGTGTATTTATTAAATTCTTTAAAGCAAAATGTAAACAAAATTTTTATTTGTTAGATGGGGTTTTTGAGGGAAATTTGGAATACATATGAATAATTTAGTTCAATTAGTAGTCATTATATGGGAAATTCTTAGACATGTTGATGCGATATGACTCTCGTTCTAAAAGGTTAGGTTATTTATTCTGTGTTGTTGGTTTTTATCAGTACAGGACTATATACTGTCCTAGATCTGTGCAGGGACTTTGTGCCTATTTTAATTTTAAGTGCTCAGTGTTCGTGGAATCATGGGAGTATAGGACTGGAAGGGACCTTGATAGGTCATCTAGTCTGGTCTCCTGCATGGAGGCAGGACTAAGTATTATCTAGATCATCCCTGACAGATGTTTATTTAACCTGTTCTTAAAAACCTCCAATGACAGAGATCCCACAACCACCCTAGGTAATTTGTTCCAGTGCTTAACTACCCTTACAGTTAAGAAGTTTTTCCTAATGTCTAACCTAAATCTCCTTTGCTACAATTTAAGCCCATTGCTTCTTGTCCTGGCGTCTGTAGTTAAGGAGAAAAATTTATCACCTTCCTCTTCCTAACATCTTTTGTATGTACTTGAAGACTGTTATGTCCCTCTCAGTCTTCTCTTCTCCAGACTAAACAAACACATTTTTTTCAATCTTTCCTTGTAGGTCATGTTTTCTAGACTTTTGATCATTTTTGTTGTTCTCCTCTGGACTTTCTTCTATTTGTCCACATCTTTACTGAAATGTGGTACCCAGAACTGGACACAATACTCCTGTTGAGGCCTTCTCAGTGTTGAATAGAGTTTAACAATTACTTCTCATGTCCTGTTTACAACACTCCTGCTAATACATCCAGAATTATCTTTGTTTTTTTTTTTTTTGCTACAGCATTACATTGTTGACTCATTTAGTTTGTGATTCACTAAAACCCCCAGATCCTTTTCTACAGTACTCCTTCCTAGGCAATCATCTCTTGTTTTGTATTTATGCAATTGATTCCTTCCTAACTGTAATACTTTCCATTTGTCCTCATTGAATTTCATTGTATTTATTTCAGCCCATTTTTCCAGTTTGTCTTACATATTTCTTTTTTAAAATGCAACACAAAAATTATCTATTTGATAATATTTTATAAAAAGTGGCTTAGAAGAGAGAAATTTATAGTATCGTGACTTAAAATTCTTCAAGTGTAAGTAAATTTGACTCAGAACCAACAATATTGTATTATATTTGCTCCCTCTCTGCTCTGCCTGAAAGGATTTACAAGTTATAGTGATAAAAAGGACTTGATCCTCCTACTGAAATCAATGATCAACTGCCGGCTAATTTCATTGTAAGTAGGATTGGACCCATGGGTAAGTACTAGAAATTATTTTAGAGCAAGTGCCAGAAGCAGCTGTCAGCCTTCATGCCAAGAATTATCATTCCCACTTTTTTACAGAGATTTTCACATTTAAAAACACTTAAACTTTTTGTACCAGAGTATTGTAAAACCAGTCTCATAGACTATAACCAAATTGGACAGGTCCCCATTGCCTCCTGAAGGTAGGCTGGCTACTTCAAACACAAAACACCTTAATGTCTCATGTTAAAGTCCATACAGTTACCAAGTTTAAGTAAAGTAATCTTGATTGTGTCTGTCATCCCAGTTGGAAGTCTATTCTTCCTCTTCACTTTTTGGCAAAATAGTACCTCATCTGAATTCTTGTTATAGTTCTCTCAAACCTTACAACCATTAGTTCTGGCCTATTGAATGACCTTGAACAGATCATCAGACTTAACCGGTTTAGTACCTCAGAGGTAACTTAAATGTTAAGTCTTGTCACCTCTCAGCCATTTTCTATCAAGATTTAACAATTCTAATTGAACCAGTTTCCCATGTTGTTAATAATTCATGTAGGACCATAGGTATGCATTTTAATTTTTTTTTACTAGAAGATAAAGAAAATTCCTGCCCCAAGGATCTTACCGTGTAAGCCATTATTCTGCAAACAGGATAGGCTTGTGCTTATCTTAACTACCATGGACTTCAATGGGACTGCTCTCAGTAGGAAAGTTAAGTATGTGTATAAGGGTTTGCAGGATCAGGGCCTAGTGTAGACCAAGAACAAGAGAGATGGTGGAGGCTGGGGAAAAAGCAGAAAAGGTAAGGGGTGGATCTGTGAAATTTTACTGTGTCTGAATACTGTTGTCAACAGTCTTGGTTGGTGAAGACCATGACAAACTGCATTAAGCTAACTGATTATTTAGATAGAAATACTGCTGTTGGGGGAGTATAGTTTTTGTACAGAGGTCAGATCATTTGAGTTAGTTGCTGTGCTTGTTTCTTGTTGTTTACATAGGCCTCTTGTGAATCCCTCCTTTATCACCATTTAATCTTTTCATCGTCTTTGATAGATCACCTTTGATAAATCTCCACTGTATTATCTCTAGTTTTTAACAATATCTTTAATCAGATATAGTGACCTGAACTGGACAGTCTGGCTCTTTGAAAATATTGTACCCAATCCCTTTGCAGATGCACAAGGAAAAGGAGAGACTTCCCCACTAATCCTTTGGTCCTCCAGGCAGGGACAGAGCACAAGGAAGCCAGGCTTCTAGCCTCTCTAAATGGTGTGGAACCATGGACCAGCCAGCTGTGGTCTGGAGTGGGATTCTCTTTGCAAGAGACGTGTAGATACTTATGGATAAGCTTGCATATTTATGGTCATAAAGCCACTGCTACAATACTTTAACCCAGAAATTAAGAGTTCTGAATATTTTTGTAAGGGTTTGTTGTAGAATGGGAACTGCTGCAATAAGGTCAGATCTGTTTTCAGACAGTGCATGGTTTACACATATTATACACTTTTGTGCCTCAGCAAAGCTATCTGAATATGTAAATCTCCATAGACACTTTTAGAACATTATATGATTCTGTAAATCTATCAGTAACAGTCCTGTTAGTGCATTAACTTGTTTTATTGCAGAAATGACTAATGTAATGTTGTTTCATGCCCATTTAATAGGATTTGTATAAAAACAATATAGTAAACTTTCTATGAGAAACATTCAGTTAAAAATAGACCAGAGACTCAATAGATATGCTTTTTTTGGTAGCGGGTCAAGTTTATAAAATGTTAGTCTTATTTTTTTAAACACACATTTTATACTGACTCTGTGGTGTAGAATTAATATATTGCAAGGTTGATGCAACTGGATTAGGTTTTCATACAGATGATTCAGTAGATGATGTGTTTAGGTACATGGGTTTTTTTTCCCCTTCCATTTATATTTTTATTACATCCCCTGAAGAGTTGGAGAACCTTTTTATTTATGTATTAGTTTGGAATAGGAATGCTGATTTGTGTGGCAAATGTAGCCACTCCTTTCTGTGTAGTTCTAAAGCTTGTTGGGGCATATTTGTCTTTGTTTTCCTCCAACAATCTTGTTATATACATTCTTATTAATAAAAGAAAGCTACCTTGAAATAAGCTATGATCCTTTCTTGTGTGTGTTAATCATTACTATTGTATAGTGGAAGGAAGAAATGGAGGAAACAGGAAGCTTCTTAAAACAATGCTAAAGCATTTAAATTACATAAATTAGGCAAACTGTTTTATACTAAAATCTCACATTGGAGTCTTGGACTTTGAATGTGTTTTGAAGTATGAGGAAGGTGTATTTAAGTACAGTGAACTACAGAGGAATACAATTATGCAAATGAGGTTGAAAACGCCTTGCTCAGAACTACAGTGATATAACTTACCTAGGTGGTCCACTCCTCACCTAGTTCTACCTATCTCCATGTTCTGTGTTTGTACAATGCCTACTGCAGTCCTGGTCGATAACTAGGGCTTCTAAGTACTACTGCAATACAAATATTAAATAAGTATTACCTGGGTAGAACTAGGCCTTCTGATTTGATACATTAAATAATGATATGGGAGCACTGATTTCTTTCTTTTTGTATGTGCTACCTGTTTGGTCATTGATTTTTGCTGTGTACTATGTAGAATGCCTCTGAACTGGGGGTAGTGGTGCAACGAGAGAACAAAAACGAATAAAAAAGTGTCTGACTTGTGGCCCAAAAGGTTTTAGTTGCCTTTGTCACTGCTGGACTGAGAGAAGCATGTGAAAAAATTCCAGTCCAAATGATGGAGCTGCATTTGGAATGCTGCTGCTCTTGTTTTTATTACTGCTTGTATTGCAGTAGTGACTAAAGGACCCAGTTGGCTCAGGGA